CTTCATTTCTCTATTTTTCGGGTCGCCGCTTGACTAGTGGTAAGACTCGATGTGGTGTGTGCTGGGTGTGAACATATCTTCCGGAACGCTGGTAGACTGGGGTAGGCACGTGAATATCAGCCATAGCGAGATGGATACTTGATGTTGTGTGCCGGGTCAAACATGTTTATTCCGGGTCCCTAAGCCAACCAGACGCTCCCGAAATTAATCAAGTGAGTGTGTGTACGTGGGACTGAGTGTTCTGTACGAGCTTAATTGAAAGATAACCGTGGTGGCATGGATTTTTCTCTGAGGCCTCTCTGGTGATTCCCTCCACAATTATAAACATGCGTTCCCAGGGATTTGGCTCCTATACATTTCCACACGATAAGCCACTTCGTTGAGCTATAATTTGTAGGCCAAGTCGCTTCTGAAAAAGAGCTACACAGTACAGCTCAGTGGAGCTTACCTGATAACATAAAAAACACAATTGTTTCATAACATCTCGCCGATATTGCAAGATGCTGCCCAACAAAACGACGTGATGAACATTCCATCTCACGTGAGTGTGAGCGGGTGGGGGGGATTTCCACCAGAAGTATATGGCACCGAATACTGACCGCATTTTAACTGAGAAGTTTCCAGTTTTAGCCAACTCCTGTCAAAGTGACTCCGAGACAAATAACTTTGTATGGACCACTCCTGAAGGAAGTTACTGCGGTTCGTGTTCTGCTGTACGGCAGTGTAAAGAGTGACTAAGGACGATAAGTCATTTCACGTCTGTGCAGTACACGTTGCCAATTTCGTATTGTACATTACACACAGGGTCTCATAACCATCTGGCCTACCTCACCACACTTACAGAGAACACATCTGTGTGTAAAGCACAAAAAACGTGTATTCGAGTTATACTGTACTACGCCGTGTGTTGTCTATATACACATTACACACTGCACACACAACACATACACAATAATGATTGTGTGTTTTTGACAGAGCTGCCCTCCTTTAGGGCCGGGCGTTCTAGAGTGCTTTAACATCACATCTTATATGAATACATTTGAAGGGGCACCCCCAGTGGCAGCTGACCCGGTGGGCACTTGGCTGGCACATGGGCATTAGTCTGCCAGTAAGGGGGCGATTAATGACTGCGATATGCAATCCAAATGGCTACGTATAATCCAACAATACACAATGCATACACACTACATTATCTATACTCATACGTATGTATCACATACATATACACCCCATACAAAACACATACACTATATACACAAAACACAATGTGTACAACACACAATACATACTACACAACACAGCTGTACGTAACAAATACGAACAAATCTTGAACTGGGAGCAGAATGGGCAAAAGTGAATGGGAAATAGCTGGTGCCAGCTATGGCACAAGGATATCAGATCTCTCTTACTTAACAGCAACCTTTGATATCAGGGGGGAAACGTTAATGGTAAATTAACGAGTGGGGGGGGGGGTGTTAATCAAGAGTTTATGGGCGGCAAGGTGCAGCAGTGGTGGCACTAGTGCCTCACACCAAGAAGGGTACGGGTTCGATTACAGACTCAGGTGTCTGCGTGGGGTTCGTACGTTCTCTCCCTTTTCTGGAAGGGGTTTTTTTTTACCCCATCGAGTTCTCTGGTTTGCTCCCAAAGCTAAAATTACACACAATGCAACCGGTATTGGCCAAACAGCCCAAAGCTGAAATGCCATCCGTCCAACCACACCACCGCAGGTCACAGCACTTCTCTTTTTTAAATCCTTTATATTAAGTTCGCTTGCTTGCTTGCTTGCGTGCTTGCTTGCTTACGACCGTGCAAATCTTTCGGTCGTTTTTTAACCCACTTCCCGTGATCCAATCGAGCTGACATTTTGCACACAGACTCGTTGTGCGTGACAATTTATTTTCGTGAAATTTTTTTTCCCAAAATTTTACACTTTTTAGGAAAAAATAATTCTATTTAATTACCAATTGCTTAATGGTGGCAGGCAATCATCTGACCCATAGGTGGCAGCCATCTCAAGCCAGAGGACGAGATGACTCTAGCCGCCACGCATATAAATGATTTATAGTGAAAAACTTTGTTTTTACGGGTTATTTTTTTACCTCTTCCGTCCGCACTGCCCCATCTCAGAAATGCCTCTACCGTCGTCTTAACAACAATAACACAACTCGATTTAAGAAGAAAAAAAAAAACACCGCGTCGTGCTCTTTTTCGACGACAACTGTTTGCTGCATGGCCGTTTGACGTTTTTGGGACCTTTGGAGCCGATGAAATGAATGAAACAACGCAACACGCAAGACGGAATAGGTGATACGTCAATGTTGGTGCGCAGGAAGGATGTGTTTGTTGGTCTTTCCAACTCCAAACTTCCAAAAATAGCCAACCCATCATCATCACTGGGGGGAGAGGGATAAATTAATTAAATAAATGCATGCATACAGTAATCTCCGTGCCACGCGGGAGGCTAATGAAGATGATGCACATATGATGTCTCTTGGCAACAACACCGCGGGCAGGCAATAACAATTCTACTCGTAATACAGTACCGGTGATTCGTGAATAACACCATGACTGTGGTTAAGTTTAGGAGCGAATTAAAGTACAACATCGCGCCCCACAGTTGACACGGAGTGATCTTGACAATAACAACCGATGGCCGAGTGGCATTTGCATGACAAGCCTGACTGCCGATGCGACCCTGATTGTCGAAACCGTCCCATGGGTCTCTGCTTGCTTCAAACCAAATGTTGCTGGATAAAACGTGTCCGAAAAACATACGCGTACTTACGTGTGAGACGAAGGGCATATTTCTGCTCATATTCTTTTACACAAACATGCTTTCTCTGTCATCAGACTCATCAGGTGTGATCAACAGACTGCTGGATGAAAGCCTCAGCAATGAATCACTCGTTCTCTTTAACAGGGAAACAAGGGATAAAATATGTGGGGTTTATACACATCCGTACTATTAAAACTAAACTCCATGCATCTAATAGCATCCCTGGACCGAGAGCCTTTGATATTTTAATAATCCTGTTATTCCCAGTCGCCACGGATTAATGGTTTAGCTGGGACGAGGGCAACTGCCCCTCCAGGCAAGACACATACAGGAGTGTAGGTTCGTGTGGCCACAAGCCCCCACCCGCCTTTGTCTCCCCTAGTGTTCCTGCTAAGCACACCGCAGCAATCAAGGCAACGTATGAGACGGACGTTGCTTTTTTAGGCTGGGTTGACCTAGAGGTGAGGACCGAAGCTGGTTACAGAACCACAAGACGTCAACTTCCGCACCTACAATTAGTACGGTTGGCTACGTACGGTGCGAAAGAAGTTCTACATACATATACAGAACACGACTGCCAAGCGTGTATTCGGTATCTATTAACCTGCGAGTCGAACACGGAGTTTGGAACTGTGATTCATTGGGCGAACCATGCCACTTTCTCCAGAAATGCAGGCAGGCAAGCGGGCACAAACCATGGAGAGCCATGCAAGCACATAGGCAGGTTGACTGGCACAGATATAGAGACACGGGTAGATAGACAAGCGGATAAGCAAAGAAACGTGCAGACAGTTCGAGAGATAATGGTCACAAACGAAACACGATTTGTGGCAACGCGACTCTGGACCAGAGGGTGCATGACGCAGAGGTCGCAACCGGGTACCCGATACCCGTACCCGGCCGGGTACCCATTTGCGACCCTGGTGCGGCCGGGTACGGGTAAGGAATCAAAACCCGTTTGCGACCTCTGGCATGAAGCCACCACGTTATGCTCTTGACCACAAAAGAACGAGCTTAAAATCCCACACCCCTCTAACCTCGCGGAAGGCACACGCCCTGTACCTGCTCTTAGCCAGGTCAGTTGTGTATACCCGCAAACATTGATATTTGGCTTTGTTGCGCAGTCACAGCAATGTCGATACTGTGTACATATTAACCAGACCTGTGGTTGGAATCGAACCGTGCGAATCCCTCCCTCATTGGGCTGTTGATTATATCACGTTGCCCTCAATGGCATTTCGCATTCACGTCGCTGGAAATTACATGCTGTCATCAGCCGTATTGTAAGCTCGGATGTAATTGGGTTGCCGTAATTATATTGTATGACTGAGCTCAGATGGCCACCCACGTGTGAATTCATTCAACCGTTCGTTCTGGATTTCATTCATCTATCCACCCAGCCACAGAGAGATGTCCCATTAATCCAATCATTAATTCAGACATTCACGAGTTCATCCACCACGCGGAATCCCAACCGCTGAAGTATAATTACCGTACAGGGATTACGGCGGTAGATGTTGTACATAATTAGAAGTAAAGCAATGTGTGCGCAACTACGTAATGTTTATTTGAATGAGACAAGATCGGGGTGTAATGCATTGCAGGGAATGTAAAACACACCCATTTATATTGTCCAAACGATTGTAAAACTTGGGTGAAAAACAGGGACTTGGCTCTTAAAATGTAAAAATAGCCTTCCTACAATTCACATTGTCCCAAGGTTTTGTCTTGTTAAGTTGTGGCCCAGGCACTTTAAGCTTCCTAATAATTACCCCCAATACACAGACGCTACAGTGGGTGTCCGATGCAAATTCTACCGATGGCCCGAAGGAGCTTTAAAGATGATAAGTTGGCACACACGTAGACTAATCTACGCCGATAACCTGCAGCATACAAGATAAAACCTCCAACATTTCAAAATTTTGACCCACTCAACACCCATCAATTTCAAACCGCGGAGGTTAATCAGTTTCATTCATGGACGTGCAACAATGTGATAGGTTAAGTCACGTACAGAAACACACGAACACATTGTAAACAGAATCATCATCAGCAAGTGAACCGAGTAATTCGCCATCCCAGTGGGTAGTGTGAGACGCTGTAGTAAAACACATCGGATTGCAGCAACAGGGCAACACTTCCACTCACATCGCAAAGAGCGAATCTCCTCAACTCGACAGGACAATTGCGATTCCGACAAAGCCACGAAAACACCACGAACCTGGGATTCTTGTCGGAAGATGCTGCCGATGCTGCCGATGGGTTGGCGACTAGAATAAGCCAGCGACGTTGCCCTCCAAGTGGCGATCGAAGGCAGAAGAACCCATGGTGGGGGTTTTTTTTTTTAAGTTTTTGTCAAGTTGACTTGCGAAAATCTTATTGTTTCTTATTTGGTTGCCGCTGTTGATGCAACGCCCGTGTGCCCGATCGCGGCTGGTACGTCCGTGAGCCGTGAATGCCGCCCTGCTCGCCGTACCCACCGCTGCTGTGGTTTCGGAGCCGTAAAAAGAGAATCGTTTACGATTGTTAAAGATTCTTTTTTGGTGGAGACGGCTCCCCACGCACGACGACCGCCCACCTCGTTCGCTCGCTTCACGGCACTGAGCGAGCCCAACATGGGAGTGGGGGGGGCCTGAGGCGCGGAGTGGGCGGAGTCAACTGAATATGGGCGGAGTCAACTAGCAAAGTGGGCGGGGCCTCCGTCAGTATGGGCGTGGCTTAGGTGGTAATGGTGCAGCCTAGATTTGTATAAATATGGGCGGAGTCAACTAGCAAAGTGGGCGGGGCTCCGTCAGTATGGGCGGGGCTTAGGTGGTAATGGTGCAGCCGAGATTTGCATAAATGTGGGCGGTGCCGCTGCGAGGAAGTGGGCGGGGTCTGGACGAGAATGAGTTCCGGCCGTGTTTAACGTGACCCTCGTTGTCAAGACACAGGGGGGCGCCTATCCGTGCTGGGAAATCTAAAAGTTCCTTCGAGCGGAGGGGCTTATCTAGTCTATTGTTTGTAAACGGACGCACCGACCGCTCCCCATACACTAATTCCATGCAACGTTGTCCTTTCTTTAACCGGCTGGGAATCACAACGAAACTCAAATGAACCTGACGTGTTGGTGTTGCCCAACAATAGGGCGTGCAGAGATGTTTTTTTTTTACGTTCTCAAAAGTGGGACTATTTTTTTTGTTCTGCATTCCGCAGTTCGAACAAAACGCGTGCCGCGGAAGGATTCGCACAACTGCACTCTGCGTGCTTCGTCTGCTTTGGGGTCAACTTGTTGAATGCACTGCCTGGCACGTTATCGTGATGTGCGTTTGTAAATCATATCACGATGAAAGAAATGCCAACTTTTTTTTAGTTTTTAGATACATAACATTAACATACGTACGCAATGCTATACGGTACTTGAAAAGCAGGACTTTATCTTCCTAGGCATGTTGAGTATTTTAATTATAATGGCATATCTAATGAACAGCATTGGGTTATGTAATCACACATTCATTTGATTAGTTAGCAAGATGCCAATTGGCAAACCCCGCCTAATTATTCGAGAAGCTACGACGCATTCCTCTGAGCAAAGTGGGAATATACATACAGTACTTTGTTTCGATAATGGAAACTGTAACCTGGCCATTTTTGGGGAAACATCATCATCCTCAAATCTCACCCAGATCCACATGAACGCTGCGGTGTGAACATCGTGGGACAACGCCGATTTCCACAACAAACACCGCATTCGAGACCCAAACATCGCATCTCGTCGCTCTGACATTCCTTTCTCAAAGACACTGGTGTCACCACCGTGAACCACATAACATCACCAGGCCAATGTGCGCATCTCCACACACGGTACATTCAAGACAAGGCACAGTACAGCAGTGCGATTGTGGTCATGCAAACCCAAAGCATGGGCCATATAAAGTAAACAAAGCGTGCTCTGTTCTCCTTCAACAAAGTAATAACAATATGACGTCCACGAACTCTCTTCTGAATCTCTCTCGTGGCTAGCAGATCTCGACTTCATTTACCTCTTGAACACACACATATATATAACAGTGCCTGATGACGGAGACTTGTGTTGCCTCCGAAACGTGATTTATTATTTTATTTTATTTCCATTATTACTTTGATTAACTTATTTATTTTTTACCTACGTGACTTTATCGAAATAACCTAAGAGTATGAATCATTGCAGTAACGAAAGCTTCAAATCTAGAATTTATATAACAGGTTGGTGTGCCTATTGACTCTAGATTTGAAGCTTTCGTGACTGCAAGGAATCATATTCTCAGGTTTTTCGGTAAAGTCACGTAGGTAAAAAATCTAAACCAATAAAAGTAAAATAAAATAATAAAATAAAATATTTTACTTTCATTGTTTTAGATTTTTTACCTACGTGACTTTACCGAAAAACCTGAGAATATGTACCTATTGACGCTGTTAACTTATCCACTACTGGATGAGGGCTTTCTCATGCCGAGCGTGGTCATGGGAGTAACGTGACCATACTTCATCAAAATTGTCCAGTTGCAGTGGGGGGCAGCGTAGATGTGGCAATCATAAAAGTTCTGTACAACAATTGGATGCATCTATGTTGAACTTCTTTCGCACCGTACGTAGCCAACCGTGCCAATCGGAGGTGCATTGAGGTTTAGAGGGGGGTGGTCGGAATCGATGTAATTTCTGAAACAAAACAGAAAATATATTCTGAATAGTTCTATATTAAATTTGTATCAAGGTCATTTTAAGCTATCCGTGGCTTTCATTCTTGGCATCACTAAACACAGGACCAATAATACAAAAATGATAGCTGTTTTAGACGATGAATCTCAGTCTAGTTCCTTATTAGCCAGTCATTACGGTGGTGGTGGTGACAGTACACAGTTCTGCAGTTAATAGCGTGTGGTCATGGTTGGCTCATGCCCCCTAGCGTTTGTCTTTAACATTCCAGCAGCTTATCTTGATTGTTTTCATGGACTTAACTTAAAAGACATCAATATTTTATCCAGGGTCTATCTCCCGGTGGATGAAGACCTCCCCTCGTCATTGTTCTCTCTCACAGTGCTGCCATACCACAAATTAATCTCATTATTGCACATGAGCCGATGTAACTGATCCATCAACACGCTGGGTTGACCCCTCGGACGCTCCTGCTATTGTGGAGTGACTCATGCAGCCAGCTATGGCTGCAGGGTTTGGTGGTGGTACATGTTGTTTATGTCGTTTATTGTGAATATTCGGTCACAGTTCCTGTGATCACTGTTACATTGCTTTTATGGCTTTATTTTGGTGATTTCGAAAAGTGTTTTGGTTTTGGTCATGTTTGCTTGTTGTAGTACGGAGTTAGACTGATGACCTTAATCTAAGTTGTCTTGTGGTTGTTGTTGTTTGACTTGCATCCCACTGGGATTTTGCACACAGCGTTGGTGTACGGTGCTTTTTATGCAATATTTTGCTGTCTTTTCTTGGATTTTCAGTTTGCACATAGTCACATATTCACTTTAAGATGTTTTCTTGTTCATGTTTTTGTTTTTTTGTTTGTTGCGGTTGCACCCGATTCAAGAGCCGAATGGCTCACAGGGCTATACCAAATAAATAAAACTGAAACCTCTCGGACGCAGTCTCTCCTCTTAATTTGGTTGCCATTTATCACTCGTATTGTCCATCCTCCCTTCAAACAATGTTTGTGTCCCGCCAAAGTGCATCTAATAATAGTACACTCTATTTAACCAGCACACACCCTTGAGATTTCGCATCTCATTTCCAAATTGAGTCCCTGGCAAGATATCCGGAGGCATGTTAATTCTTAGTAACATGTAAACAATACAAAATCAATGAATATTGCATCATTTAGTAGCATATCTTTTAAACTGCATATATGTTAGAGATATATCTAGCATTTGTGCAATTACTGAATATTAATATCCTTTAAATCGAGCCCATCGAGGGTTTATTTTTCAATGTTGGAAAATCTAGATGTATTAACGTGGAAAATGTTTAACATTTGTTTAACATTTAAACAGAATATACAATAATATTCCAAAGCTGACGACACCTTCTGTTTCTTAAGTCGAGAGCTGTGGCCACCTGAGTTCGATACCAGGCCATGAATTACAGCATAAGCGCCAATACAATCACGGCAATTTCCATCAGAACCTGAACAGGGCATCACATAGGTAGGTTCATCCTAGAAATAGGACTCATAAGGGGCCGTCCATAAATGACGTCACGCGATTTTGGACGAATTTTTTACCCCCCCCCCCCTTCGTCACACAGTCAGACCCCCCTCAAATATGACGTCACAAAGCTCTGCCCCCCCCAAAAAAATAAAACATGCTTCAAATCGCTTAACACTATTGTCATTGTAGTGCGTATTTAATGTGGCGCTGCACTCTGATGTCGTAGGAGAAAACTTTTATTAAAAAGTATATTTAATTAAGTAGAACGTGTTGTCTATATTTATTTAAAGTTGCGCATTTTGATGTGACGTCACATTTCTCACCCTCCCCCCCATCGTCACTAATGTCTGACCCCCCCCCAAATAGGTGCGTGACGTCATTTATGGACGGCCCCTAAGATGGAGAGAACAAAAATAAATATATCAAGTGTTTGGCAAGTCCTCTTACAAATAGTAGTATTCTGTATCCAGTTCGATTTCAGTACAGCACGAAAGTCTATAACGACGTTACTTATACATCAGCCACGCACGCGAGTTAATTTCATCGCTCCATCTCCACGGTGGAGGTACCTCTCACCCGGTATAGTTGAGACATTCCAACGTTGGGATAACGTTGGAATGTGGCTGGGCTAACGTTGAATCAACGTTGGCCCAACGTTCAATTTGTTCACTGGGTCGGACGCGGTTTTATTCCTTGGCTGCCACTCCGTCATTAATCTTGACCAAATTTTTATTTAAAGCTTTCGTGACTGCAGGGGTTCATATTCTTGGTTCTTTCGGTAAAGTCACGTAGAAGGGAAAAAATAAAATAATATGAACATAAAAAAAAAATTATCACGGCGTTTCGACTGCAAAACAAGCAATCATCATCAGCAAAAACATTTTCTTGCTGTGGATTTCACACCTGATGATGAAAATCTTTTTTCAGATTTTCTTGCCGTGGATTTCACACCTGATGATGATTGCTTGTGTTGCAGTCGAAACGTCGTGATAATTTTAATTGTTTAAAATTTGTATTATTTTATTATTTCCCTTCTACGTGACTTTACCGAAAGAACCAAAAATATAATCTTGACCACTTAAGACGAAATGCTCATGACGGGTGACGTCACCTCTCTCACCCGGCAACGTTGGCACGACGTTGAGACGTTAACCCGACGTCGTGACGACGTTATCCCGACGTTGAGACAACGTTAACCCGACGTTGAGACAACGTTAACCCGACGTTGAGACAACGTTAACCCGACGTCGTGACGACGTTATCCCGACGTTGAGACAACGTTAACCCGACGTCGAGACAACGTTAACCCGACGTCGTGACAACGTTAACCCGACGTCGAGACAACGTTAACCCGACGTCGCGACAACGTTAGCCCGACGTCGAGACAACGTTAACCCGACGTTAAAACAACGTTAACCCGACGTCGAGACGTTAACCCGACGTCGTGACAACGTTAACCCGACGTCGAGACAACGTTAACCCGACGTTAAAACAACGTTGACCCGACGTCGTGACAACGTTAACTCGACGTCGTGACAACGTTAACCCGACGTCGAGACAACGTTAACCCGACGTCGAGACGTTAACCCGACGTCGTGACGACGTTAACCCGACGTCGTGACAACGTTAACCCGACGTCGAGACAACGTTAACCCGACATTGAGACATCGTTAGCCCGACGTCGAGACAACGTTAACCAGACGTCGAGACAACGTTAACCCGACGTCGAGACGTAAACCGGGTGGGCCGGCGACGTCGTCACCGCGACCCGGAGATGACGCGCGGCGCGAACCGAGGAACGGGCTCCACCTGGTGGCGGCACCCACCAACAACAACATCACTAGCACCACCACCATCATCACTAACACCATCATCATCGTCGTCACCGCCATCGTCTGCGAGCATGGCCTCGGATAGTTCGGAGACGAAGCGGACACGGGACGAGGAGGAGGACGAGAAAGAGAACGAGGAGGGGGAGAACAAGAATAAGAAGGCAAAGGAAGACGTCGAAGAGGAGAAAGAGGAGGGGAAAGATGGGAAGGAAGACGACAATGGTGGTGGTGGTGGTGGTGAGAAGGGGGAGGAGGAGGATGATGCCTGGGTCGGGCCCTTGCCATGCGAGGCTGTTACCGTCAGTAAGAAGAAAGGTAAGTGAGAGTCATCAAACACAACGGACATGGGTCTGGGATTCATCTGGGTTGACTCGGCATGAATGTTCATCGCGTCTCGTTCGTTGTGGTTGTTGTTGTTTCATTCGCAAGAGAAGCGGCGCAATGTGGTTTGTCTCGTGGTTTGATGCGTGTCGGAGCTCGGAGGAGAAAGCCGCTCGTGTTGTCTAGAGTCCCAACTCGATTTAATCTTTAAAAAATTGCGGGGATTCGTACGTGAAAGTACGATTCATTCTAATGGAAAAGTGCAGCGTTTAAAGACGCGTAAAACTTGATGCATCGCTCGCTCAGGCGTTGTGGGATTTCCCGCTCGACTGAAGTGCCTCCCCTGTCCCACTAGAGGGGGTTTATAGTACACAGTGAAGTACTGTACATGTAGTCCCCGAGTTACGACGGAACTCCCCGAGTTACGACGAAACTCACCGAGTTACGAAGATAGTCCCCGAGTTGCGCTGGTAGTCCCCGAGTTGCGCTGGTAGTCCCCGAGTTGCGCTGGTAGTCTCCGAGTTACGACGGTAGTCCCCGAGTTACGACAGTAGTCCCCGAGTTACGACGGTAATCCCGAGTCACTCGTTTAGTCCCCGAGTTACGGTGGTAGTCCCCGAGTTACGATGGTAGTCCCCGAGTTACGATGGTCCGACTTACGATATTTCGATCTTACGATGGCGATAGCGATGCGATAAAATTGCCATCAACAACCTTAACATCGTTCAAGTGTGCACAGTACAATATGATACGTTACAATGCGTTCAATGTATGTTAAAAGTTTTTTTTAATATATAGCAGATAGGATTGTTTCCTGAAAAAACTTTCGATTAAATTGCAGTTCATATAGGTGGGCTAATAATTTACTTTTTTTTTACTTAACATTTTACTGTGCAATACAGTATTGTAATTAATAAATACATACGGTATATAGTTTATACAGTACGGTACTGTAAATTGCTCTGTTTTGCTAAATTATCACAATTCTTTAAGACTCCTGAGTAGGCTAGGCCATCTTCGACTTACGATGGGGTCGTCGTAACGCATCTCTATCGTAAATAGAGGACTACCTGTAATGTGTTTTTTTGTTATTCATTAAACGTGTTCCTTCGGCATCGATTTAGATGGCAAACTCAAACTATTGCTTCAGGACAAGTGCCGGATTAAGCTAGTGCGGGGCCTGTAGCATATGTTATAAAGGGGCCCTAAATAAATAAATAAACATTAAAACACAAAAATTTTACTTGCATAGTAAAGTAATTGTATTTTTTTAATTTTCCATACAGCCAGATAAAACGACAAATCGCTACCCTTAAACACCCAGTCGTTCATAAAAGTTGAAGGCGGTATAGGGGCCGTCCATAAATGACGTCACGCGATTTTGGACGATTTTTGAACCCACCCCCTCGTCACACAGTCAGACCCCCCTCAAATATGACGTCACAGACCCCCCTCAAATATGACGTCACAGACCCCCCTCAAATATGACGTCACAAAGCTCTGCCCCCCCCCCCCAAAAAAAAAACATGCTTCAAATCTCTTGAAACTATTGTCATTGTAGTGCGTATTTAATGTGGCGCTGCACTCTGATGTTGTAGGAGAAAACATTCATTAAAAAGTATTTAATTAAGTAGAACGTGTTATCGATAATTTTTTAAGTTGCACATTTTTACATGACGTCACATTTCTCAAACCCCCCCGCCCTCGTCACAAATGTCTGACCCCCCCCCCTAGGTGCGTGACGTCATTTATGGACGGCCCCATAGTACCATAGTAATAGAGCAAGTGCAGAATCACTGAACCGGCATTGATAGCTTGAAAGCATTTAGCGCGGAGCCCTTGAAAGTGCGAGGCCCGTAGCTACATATGTAGCTGCTTTTGCTACGAGGATAATCCGGCACTGTTCAGGACCATATAACATCTCGCAACTATATTGTGTCGGCCTGCGTGGTCTGCCTTGCAGTTGTATGTTTCACGGGTGTTGACTTCCTACAAAGTGGTTCCAATTTTAATTACTCCGCAACGGGCTGAGCATAACAACATCAATGCAGGGTTGAGCCTGGTTAGTACGTGGATGGGCGACTTCCTGGGAATCACCGGGCGTTTGTAGGCAGGGGTTACGAGAGGTACCAACCATGGATTCTTAAATCGATCTTTGTGGAGGTTTTGACTGTTACCACTTCAAAAATGCATCGTGGGCTATTTTCATCCCACGTAAAGCCAAAATACTCACGAACGGAATTGGCCAAACATCCCCAGGCAGGACCCTCTTGAAAAAATATTTTGAGGCTGGGCATGTCACATTATTACGTTGTCTCCATGTATGTGCGTGTGTTGGGTGTCTCTGTGTATATCGTGTGTCGTTGCCGGCCTTCACAGATGCTCGCATAACAACATCTTGCCCCAAAAATCCTGTTTTTTTTTCGTTTTTTAAACGCCTGTACGGGGCACATCTTTGTCTTTTGCATATCGTGCGTCAGTGCTGGAATTCGAGCGGGTGTTTCTCGACAACCTACCGTGTGCCGCCATGTACGAGCGCAGCTACATGCACCGCGACACCATCACGCACGTGGCCGTCAGCAAGTGAGCTTTCTTCCCATTGATCGTTCACTGCCAGTTCCATTGTCGTCATACCTGTTGTCAACACCCTTATCAGTGTGTTAAGATGTTCAAACACCAAATAGAAAGCTTTTGCAAGGAATCAAATTCGCATTAACCACACGCACTTGTAGTGAACATGCACACAGACATGCTCTGATAATGTGGCATTGTCTTTGAAACGGATTGGCCTACACCAGAGACCGCCTTCTTTATGGCCTAGTCTCACCAGTGTCAGACTAGACGAACAGTACAAAGACAATTCCACTATGAGAGCATTTATAGCTTGGGATGAGCAGCTACAAAATGTGAAATTTTTGTGCCTACCTTATTACAGACCAATTTAGACCTTATTGGTCACCATGTGGCCTTATAAATCTAAACGTTCATCCTGCAAAGTGCTATCACAAGAGGGAAACACAAACAAATAGATGAAACATGGTTTTTTTGCCCATATTGAAACGGCTGTACGCCGTTTGGACTTGAACACTCAATTTCCCTGTACAAGAATCCGGGTAAACCGAATGGGTTGATGGGTATGAATGCCTGTTGGGCACCTGCCCTCCGCTATCCAGCATAAATTGTCCCACCCCATCGCAACCGATTGCTTTTTTTATCATTTTGTTTACATCCGCAGCACTTCCTTGCTAAGTTCCATTTTGATGTTCCAAGTCGCTTACCTTAGACTTCTGCATGCACCTGTCTTCAGCTGACGTATGAAGGGTCGGATTTATATAGCTTTATGTAGCTTCTTAAATGTGACCCCATCTCAAGACGCTGGTGTGCAGAAACAAGCTTTTTAAACCGCTTCGTGAAAGTCCATCTCTGACTTTTACACAAGTAACAGAGACTTTACACTGGAGTACCTTTGTGATGTTGGAGCTTGTTGACATGTATAATTTTAATTAATACAAACAAATTCTTCAGTTTGGCTTGTACACCACTGCAATCACTCAATAATTTTTTTTTACAATGACAACTGGATGAACAGCCCTGTCCTTAAGTCAGTTCTTTGTAAAAAATATATATATAATTTAAAATAAATGTCTTATGGGGGCTATCATCTGGTTATATTAAGATCTCTGTGCAATATAGGTTTGGCACCAGCTCATTGTCAAGTCGTTAGAATGCGTGGAAATGTGTGTACTATGGAGTAAGAGAAGCGATGGCATAGTGGTTAGTGCACTGAGTTTGAGTCCCCGCTATGACTAACATCAGCGGCAAGTGATATTTGAAAATCGTCTGGGCATCCCCAAGTCGATGTAGCCTTAAAATAGTATCTGGTGCGATGTGTAAACATCAACACCTTGGACACACAAAGGTGGCTCTGCGGGTTCTGGAAACACCACCCCTTCGTGCACTGCTTTTCCATTCATAAGTGTTCGTTAAAGCACTTTACTCAACAGTGTATGTTGGCTATATTGTGCGATCTTTGTACTAAGGAGTACATGACTGCTCGTGTGTGCGATTTAGGACGGATTTCCTCATCACAGCCAGCCAGGATGGACACGTGAAGTTCTGGAAAAAGAATGAAGGCGTCGGAATAGAGTTTGCGAAACACTTCCGCAGTCACTTGGGTACAATCGCCAATACCACCACATCACCATTACTACAGCAATAACATAATGGGGCTTTTTATTACACGCTTTTATTTAACTCACTTCGTCTGTTGTATCCTAAAATAAGTAAACCCGTAAAAACAACGTTTTTCACTCTAAATCCTTTATATGCGTGGCGGCTAGAGTCCTCTCGTCCTCTGGCTTGAGATGGCTGCCACCTATAGGTCAGATGATTGTCTGCAGTATTAAACAATTGGTAATTAAATATAATATTTTTATCCTATAAAGTGTAAAATTTTGGAAAAAAAATTTCACGAACATTAATTGTCACGCACAACGAGTCTGTGTGGAAAATGTCAACTCGATTGGATCATGGGAAGTGGGTTAAAAAACGACCGAAAGATTTACACGGTCGTAAGCAAGCAAGCAAGCACGCAAGCAAGCAAGCGAACTTAATATAAAGGATTTAAAAATAAATCTTGTAACTCAATTTTTGCACACTTCCCAATGTGCTATCGACTGCAAACTTCGTATAGGTGTGTCATACTGATGACAACACGATATTCTATCATAAAAAAATCCAAAACATATATTTAACAAAATTTTACACGATTTTATTTAATTTACTGTATGTGTTGTCGTATCCAAAAATCTTGTAACTCAATTTCAACCGTATTCCCAATGTCGTCTCGACTGCAAACTTGGTATAGGTATGTCATACTGATGACAATACTATATTCTAGCATTGAAAATTAAAAATAAATATCTTTGTTTAATCTTTTTTATGGCTCTAATTGTCGACGCTCAACTCACGTTGCCTGTAAATCACCACGGTCCCTTACATCACGGCAAGCCTCGGGGAGCCACGCCGAGGGGCAGGGGATGTGTAACGAGGGGAGGGGCGATGGGGGAAGGGGGCAGGGGGAGGGGCAGCTCGGACAGTACATTTCATTAAAGCGTGTTTTGAAAAAAAGTATTTTTTTATATTTTATTCATCAGAGTGCCAGAAGTAACCACCACATAATAACCATCACCTTCCACGCCTGCATAGGTTTCCTCATGCCTGTGTGCGTGCACGTGTGACATCCCCTAGGTGCGATCGAGGACATCTCTGTGAGCTCAGAGGGTGCACTGTTCTGCTCAGTGGGCGATGATCAGGCCATGAAGGTGTTTGACGTTGTAAACTTCGACATGATCAACATGCTGAAGCTTGGGTGAGTCTGCACTGCAGCAGAGCAGCAGTGCACGGTCACACATCGGTGAATTAGATGCATTAATGAAAATCGATTATTGTTTAGGCCCGTGATACATTTCGAATTGTGCATGTAAGAAAATCAATTATTGTCAATTTATACTAATTGTGTGCTAATTATATGGCAGTGTTACCCTAAGGCACGTGGCAGACAACCCATAGATAAAACCAAGTGTCAATACAGTCGAGGTGGTAAAATGTGACCAAAAAACAATGCGTTCAATCACAAAACGAAATTGTGACTCAAGTGTTAGATAATTGTCACATGCCTAGGTCCATGTTTTATAACAGGGATGGCCGAAACATCACGAGCCCTATGCAGCTCCCAGGCAGTTCGTCTGGCTCCCTACACATATAATTGTTTTCTTTCTCACGTAACATTTTTGAAAGAAAAGAAATCTGCAGAAGTGGGAGTTGCCTGGTTTAATCAAAGGCATCTGAAATCCAGATTTGAACCCAGAATCTCAACGGTGCCAGCTCAAGTGCTCTGACCCCTGAGTGACCCAACCACTTCAGTGTTTTTAAGGAGATTTCATGGACACTTAAAGAAATCAGCTTAATGTTCCAAGTGTGAACCACGTAGAATTACAGTGGTGAGTAAGGGTGTAGAAATGAAATGGTTTGTGGGTCTAATTATTAATGTTCTTTTTGCATATGTGAATGCAATGCTCACTTGTTTTTATGGCCAAGTTGTGTGCATGAGTCATCGCGTTGTGTGCAGCGAGCCAATCTACTAATGGACGTCATTAATTATGTCCAAATGGTATTTATTTTCTAGAACGTCTGGTAGAGGCTTTGTAAAGGCCACTATGTAAATGTTCCCTATTAATAATCTCAGCATACGTAATAAATCATGGTTCTGAAGCTCGACAAAAGTTTATTTTATTACTATAGCGTTTGCACATCATAGTTGTAAATGAGTACAGAGGTATTTATAATCAGGTGTTATAAAATGTTTGATTTCAAAAGAGTGCAACTATTTACACAAAATATATTTCAGAAATACCATGAACCTTGATGTGCAAATTTATCAAATCCTTTCATATTTTAATAGGAAACGATTGAAAATAATTTTAAAAAATCATTATCTCCATTTGGCCGGATGGCTCGGTGATCAGAACTTGCAACTGTCTAAATAGATTGGGTTCTCAAAGTATTGCAAGTTGATGAGCTCAGGCCAGTCAACGATGACTGCACCCAAAAAATATCACGTTTAATTTGCTTTTGCACTTAGAATAATTCCAGCTCTGAGACTTAACATGTTTGGTTTTGACGGTCATGTGACAAACATCACTCGGTCGTAGGGCAAATGATGCAATCGGAATACATTTTTATAAAGATTTACAAAAACCTATCCGATCGTGTCCTTGCTGAAACATTGGGCAGCATTCATATCAATCAGCCACCCGGAGTTCGTGGTGGATATTCCACCTTCCTACGGAGGCCAAGTCTATCCATGGTTCAGACTGTCTGTTGGCATCCCTCAATGTGCACCTAATTTATCAACCTCAAATGAAACTAATTGGATTGCTTTATTCGACCCCAATCTTGATTTGAACACATGGCCTTGTCATTATAAGTACTCTGCCAAAGCACCACTAAGCCAGATAGATCTCCTCGTTTCAACGTTGACGTTGGTGGGGGGAAGGGGCACACTCCTGGCGTTTTTTCTTTCACTGTTTATTTACTTATTGTTTTCTTTATTACCTACCTTTCTTATGCTATTCGTTGCGCGCGGCTGGGCTTTATTTTGCGCGCGGGGTTGAAATTTACTTTGCTCAGTCTGTGTCAGCCGCTGAGGTCGTGACGGGTTTCTTTTTTCATTCCCGTTGCTCCGTGCCCCCTGTACCGTTCGCGTTCTGCTGTAATGTGCACTGATGCCTACTCTATTGAGGGCAATATTGGCACGTAAAATAAAGAGTGATTGATGGTTTCTTGCTGTAAGTAATGCATCGTTCTCACAGTAGCATCCTGACAACTGCCTGCCATTGGTCGGATCTGTTCACACGTTGTTTATTTGTCCTTTCTCATTCACTGCATGCTTAACGGATGTATTTGAAAACTACAAAGAATGTGTACAATATTATCCTATTCTTCAGCGCCTCCTTTCGCCACGTGGTTGCCCCGTGGCCCTGTCGTCCCTCGCACTTCTCTCCGCAGCTACCAACCCGGCTGCTGCGAGTGGATCTACTCTCCGGGGGAGCCGGTGTGCGTGGTGGCGTGCAGCGAGAAGCTCACAGGACGCGTGCACGTCTACGACGGGCGGGGCTCCAGCACTCCCCTGAGGACCCTTGAGAAGCTGCACTCGTCGCCCGTGTGCCTGCTGTGCTTTAACCCCATCTACAAGGTTCGTCCGATGTCACGAGTCCGCCATGCGCCGTGGCGCACGAGTTCGTTTCTCTTGAAAAGGATGACCTTCGCCAGATAGTCATGCTTTGCCGGCTGTGAGCCATCCTGACTGGTTTTGGCTTTCGGCCAATTTTATTCCGGTTGTCCTATCACGGTCCTTTGCCTAAGATTTTGTCATTTGTCCCACCAATGTTGGCACTTACGTGAGTAAAATGTATTTTCGTGGGTTTTGTATGCTACATTACCTTCTGACACTTGCAATGGGCCCCTGCAGTGATAGAAGTGATTGTGCTTGTTTCCAGGATGAAAATGTCTCCTCCTAGCACCCGATTAGTGAGTGCAAGATGTTTGCAGTGACGGATGCATAAAGCTGGTGGGCCATTTAAAAGTGGCAATCCTGATGCGGCTATGGGTCCTGTGAAATAAAGTCGCGGGCAATAGTTTCCCTGTACCGCTGTGATAAAGCTTTGACTCTTCCTTCGCGGCATTGTCATCTTCACGATGGGCTGACGTCTTTTCGAGTCCAGGTGGTTGTGTCGGCCGACAAGACGGGCATGCTCGAGTACTGGACGGGGCCGCAGCTGGACTACGCCTTCCCACGCAACGTGGCGTGGCAGTACAAGACGGACACGGACCTCTACGAGTTTGCGCGCTGCCGCACCTGCCCGACGGCGCTGACTTTCTCTCCCGACGGCTCCCGCATCGCCACCATTGCGCTGGACCGCAAAGTGCGCATCTTCCAATTCCGTACGGGCAAACTCATCCGGGTCTTCGACGAGTCGCTTAAGGTGAGGCCGTTCAAATGCCAAGAGGACCTTCAACTGTGTGTGTGTATGTATCGCGGTTGGGGTTCATAATGACCACGTCGCAGATACAAAGTTGTGCTGGTGAAAGGCTGGGTTTGAACTCGAGCCGCCTTCTGCTCATGATTAAATGTGGTTCATATTAATTTCTTGTCTCTTTCCCCGGTTTTATATCATTTGCGCTCTCGGTGTGTTCTCATGAGACAAAGAAACAATTCGTATCGCTCTCGCACAGCAGTGTGTTAGTGAATTTCCCATAGAATTTGATGTCGCAGAACTTTTGATGGCCTTTATCTAGTAGACATAGGGCACTACTTTCCCCCCTGCCTCGCTTCTGAGAGTGACCTTCGCCACGTGATAGTCAAGCGTGTATTTTCTGTTTTGTTCGTCAATAGAAATACAAAAACAAAAACTTTTTCTGCACGAATGCAATGCTTGGGCCTGCTTCCCTCTCACCAACATGTTTTTTTCGGATGACAATTCCGAATTCTACATGTGACTAAGACGCTTGCAGGGTCCCAATAAGTATAGTTTGTGCGCCGTTTCAATGTGGTAGATCTTGTGTTTGTGGTTCAGTATGAAATTAAGTCCCTGGCTGTATCTAGCCCACAACTTGTAGGTTTTCCTCGCCCTGCTGTAGTCCACACGTCTCGCTTGACAAATAACAATGCTGGGTGTGTGCCAAATTGCCGTCGCGATTGGCCGCACTTCACCTGCAATTGATTCCCTTTTCCCCACCCTCAACAGATGTTCACAGAGCTCCAGCAGATGAAGCAGCAGCTGCCAGACATGGAATTTGGGCGGCGCATGGCCAGCGAGCGTGAGCTGGACAAAGTGGAAGCCGCTCGATTTGCCAACATCGTGTTTGACGAGACGGGGCACTTTGTGCTCTATGGCACCATGCTCGGAATCAAGGTCATCAACATCGAGACAAATCGGTAGGACTTAACGGAGACAGTTGACGACACACCTGTTCATTTTTGTTGCAAATTTTCCCAGTTTTTTGTTCTTTTTAAGGCACCGCAGCGAAAGTGTGATCTCTGTTAATCTCACTGCCTTCTCTGGAGAATGGTGATTTTCTGTAACATGAGCCGCTCATATATGTTTTGTTTTATAGGGGCAGTGTTAGTGATGTATGTGGTGTGGGGTTTTTTGGGTATATATAAAATTCTAGATTTGAAGCTTTCTCTGGTTTTTTTGTTAAAGTCACGTAGGTAAAAAATAAAATAAAATCAATGAAAACCACTAAATTAAATCACGACGTTTCAGGCGCAACACAAGCGTCTATCATCAGGTGGGAAAGCATGGCCTACTGCTGATGCAGACTGCAGACTGCATCAGCAGTAGGCCATAGCAGCAGGCCAATCTTTCCCAACTGATGACGGACGCTTGTGTTGCGCCCGAAACGTCGTGATTTAATTTAGTGGTTTTCATTTATTTTATTTTTTACCTACGTGACTTTACCGAAAAAACCAAGGAGTATATATTAAATGTCATTCTGCATTACAGAGGGATGCATTTTTGTCTTTATCATTAAAATCTGTTAAATCACATGTAGCCGGGTAAGTGTTTCGTTAGAGTGCCCATGGGAAGCAGATTCATTTTGAGATATGTAGCATAGAACGACTGCGGAGATCCCTTCAGAGTGACCGATTCTTCCCACACACGAGCGCAGCAAGTTCCTGCATGCTGTGCTACAGGGAAATGTTGCTCACATGGTAGTCGCACCAATATTTTTCATTCTCAGAGATGGAATTGGCCACATTAGGTGATCAACCAAATTTTTAAATGACTTGTGTTATTTTGGGGGGCAGTCTTTATAAATAGAATACACGCTACAGCCCTTTGTCAATCCACTACTAGATTAAGGTCTTCCCACAACTCTTGTTACAGTTGAGACCCCATTTAGCGGATAAGCATTGGCATTTACTTAACGCTTAATGCAACTTCTTAAGTGCTTAATCATGGGCGGCTGTAATCCCCAATCACATCGCAGGAGTGTCAGGAGTGTCGGCTGAGTGCTGTCTTACCCCTGAGCCGTGCAGCAGCAAAAGTTAGTTATGTAAACGTACAGAAATAAAAAAAAAAACTACTCGATACATTCATCATGAACACTGCCTTATCACAGAAAAATTATTGGCTCATGTTTCAGATAACGTTGTTCAGAGTAGAGGGTACAGAGGCAAGTGAAATGTAAACATTTGTGAATTAATATAGTTAACCTAGTCTGTTGCCCCACGCAATGTTGGTTATTTGACCATACTTCACCATGCCGGTTCGTACAAGTTTGTGAAGGAGGCAGGGGCCAGATTTGGTTCAAATATCACCCACCGCTGATCTTAGCCTTGGCCGGAAATTGAACGCTTGATTGCTGGGGTCAGTAATACTAATCATTGGGCCACCAAATTCCCCCTTTGAATTGATATTTGAACATTTTTACATTAATAAATATACACGTATCAGCTATCCTTTTCCATTCAATATTCCATAATGGAAAAAACCGACTCCTCGTGCATTAATTTAAAAACGTTTAATTGTCTGCTCTATTCAAAGTCCACAGTATCTTTTTGAGGGACAAAGGAAGGTGGATGTGTTCTGTGTGAAATGATTATTTCATCATGCACAAGATGAAGAGTTATTCCGGGAGGGGATTAAATCCTTGGAACATTGCTGACGGACCTTGTCCATCGGAACTTCAAGAGAATTACGTAGAAAATAACAGTTTCATCGCGGTCATTCATTGCATTAAGGTCAGCCAAGGGACTTTAAATGATGATCATCGTAGTCCCTTGTGATTTATCCCCCCCTCTGTGATGGTCTCCCCATCCCGTCGCCATCCCTGAGTGCTGCAATGCTGCAATCCGTCAGACCCTTGCACAAGCATTCAAGAAATGCATTTATTTTGTTAAACCAGGTGGGAACTCAAGAGACCAGGATATAGAGTCTCATGTGCTGAAGTGACCTTGGTTATCAACATTAATAATGCAATAACATTTAAAAAATGAAGCAAATAGACATCTTTGCCAAAAAAGAACGCAATCTCATAGCAGCAGCAGCACCACCTCTGGTGGTCAAATCCAGAAGGGTTCCTTTTCACACCCAGTGATTCTAACCAGCTGATTCTTCACATTGCAACTGATGCCAGCGGCGGGACAGATCCACAGCGACTGGGACTGGGGGCCATAGTTTAGATGTGCCAGACTTTCATGGTGGGACTATACCGTGCTGGTCGGTGTGCATAGGCATGCAACGATTCGTCGTTTAAGTTCCTTCTCTACACTCAGCAGTATGTGCATCAAATCATGCCGGCAAGAATCAATCGTTTTAATTTCGAATGTGATACGTCTAAATCGGTTCATGTGACCCCTGCGGCTAAATAGAGGCACTAAGCTAACCACAGCAGTTATCAAAAGAATCAATTTCAGACCCGACATCCATGGGAGGTGAGGGGTGAAAATCGGGTGGGCGGTTCAGTATTTCGCTCAATTTCCACAATCGATGGGTGACCCCCTAAATTGTGTCCGTTGATGGGATTCTGCCCGAAAAACGTCGGTGGTGTTTCTTTATAACCCCCTCGTTGCGAGCACGATTATTTCATTATTGTTTTTTTTGTACGTGACGCAAATTTCAAAATGGGTGGTGCGATGGCCGGGGGCAGGTGCGTGCGGATCCTGGGCAAGCAGGAGAACTCGCGGCCGCTGCACGTGGCGCTGTTCCAGGGCGTGGCGCGCACCAAACACGCCGCCCTGACGGTGGAGATGAGGGCCTCCGACAACCCCGTGCTGATGAGCGTGCAGGGCGACCCCACGGTGTTCGCGTCCGCCTTCAAGAAGAACCGCTTCTACATGGTAGCCGCCGCGCACTCGCACACGCACCGGTCATGCGGCACGTGCACCTCACATTAGCACGGACGGCTACGTACGGTACGTACAGCCACGTGCTCCTGAATACAAATTCACACGACTGCACACCCGCGTATAGCTATACAACAACAAAGATACCCCGTCGTTTCGCCTTAACAGACTGTTGGAGAAAGTGCCGTTAGCGAGCACCTATGAAACACCATCGACTCGTGCCGACGACATCGCCATCGCGCGCGTGCGTTCACGCTCGGGCACGCACGTGTGTGCGTGCGCGTCCCTTCCTCCCCTGCGCCCCGCAGTTCACGCGGCGCGAGCCCGAAGACGCCAAGAGCCCCGAGTCGGACCGTGACGTCCTGAACGAGAAGCCGAGCAAGGAGGAGGTGATGGCGGCAACGCAGTCGGAGGGCGCCAAGCGCGTGTCGGACTGCGCCATCATGCACACCACCTACGGCGACGTCACGCTCCGCCTCTACCCCTCCGAGTGAGCGAGCGTCACGGTGCTAGCGTCGCGCTTGAGGGGCTCTGAGCCAGAGGAGTGGCGGGGAGAGCACGGCGTGCGATGCCTGGCAATAGCGGGAAGGGGGACGGGAGGTTTGAGCGAGTTTTGTTAGGTGGCAGCGCATGCCTCTTGATACTACAGTGTGCGTGTCAACCGTCAAGCGGGACTCTATCTCTAACCGTAACCATATGAGCAAACTAGACGCTTGCCCTACCCTTAATCCTAACCACACTAGCCAATCAGACCTTACCACTGTCCCTAATCATGCAAGGCAACCAGGCAATAGCCCTGTCCCTTACTCCTACCACATTAGCAAGCTCGACCCGAGTCCTAACATTATAACCACACGAGCCAATTCGATTGTATCCCTTTCCATAACTACACTAAACAACCAGACACTAACCCTGCCCCGAATACTACCAAACGAGCCAGACAGCCCTCTTTTACTTTCCATCGCCATAGCCATGCTAGCCAACCACGTCCTAGCACTGGCCCTACCCGTGACCCTGATCCTAGCCTCGCCTCTGACGCTTTTGCCTGGTCCCCTATCTGAGTAACGGAATAAACTTCATTCCATAAAAGACGATAACGCTGAATAATTCATCCGTGTAGGTCGGTCAGGAACCTACTTGTTCTACTTTGATCTTCTAACAGCCACGTAGGCCCTGTTTCGGAGATCTTATGCAATCTTTCAAATGTGCACAATCTTAACAAAGCATGCCTTATTGCGCAGTGGTCGTTGCCAAGATCTCCCTGTGCCGCTGATGCGTAACACATCATATAACAGGAAGCCCCGGATGGCCTTTGTTAGCTTGTGCTGCAGTAGCTGAGCAATTGAAGGAGAGGATGGGTCCCGCCAGTGTGCCGTCTCTTCGCTGTCTAAACCAGAAGGCCCTGGAGATGTAGATCTATCTTATTGTTAGGTTTTTTCGGTAAAGTCACGTAGGTAATTTTTTTTTTTATTAATAAAAGTAAAATTAAAATAAATTAAAATCACGACGTTTCGGAGGCAACACAAGCCTCCGTCTTCAGGTGGAACCGTCACAGCACTTTTATTAATTTTTTTTTTTACCTACGTGACTTTACCGAAAAAACCTAAGAATATTAATCCTTGCAGTCACGAAAGCTTCAAATCTAGAATTAGATCTATCTTCCTGCGTGCGCGCGTTGCCACGTCTGCCAGGTGCCCCAAGGCTGTGGAGAATTTCTGCGTGCACAGCAAGAGCGGCTACTACAACGGGCACATTTTCCATCGCGTTATCAAGGTGGGTGTTGCATCCACCGCCGCCACTGTGTCTGTGCCTTGCGTGCGATTGGAGTGAGAACGTGAGTGTGTTTGTATTTGTTGGTGCACCGTCATCCAGCAGTGGATTGATCATGGACAATGATGACGTGGTTGTATGTAATGAGACTCATGAGCACCCTAATGTCACTCGTAGCACGCAACCTCGAATCATGATTATTATTCTGCTGCCCCACTGCCTGCAACTCCCCCTTCCTCTCTTCAAGTTTATTTTGTTTCTGTGCCCATTACTAACTGCCTCACTCTGCAAAATAAACATGCACACTGTTTGTGTCCAGCGTATTGAGAGATGGGTTGCTATATAAATCCACATTGTATTCTGTTTACTGTGGAATATTGGAGGGCAATTTGACGATGACTTTTTTTTTATGCATGTAGTGGTGCGTCGATGAAACGTCGCATTCTATTTTGGCGCACGACAATATGTTTCGGAGCTCGGTGCCAATGTCGAGGTCTGCTGTTCACGACGAGAAGGCTTTAGGAGAGAGAGTTTGTGTCGTTGTGCTGTTTCTCCTCCGTTGAAGCAGCGCAGGCCACGGTGGGCTTACTCTACGGTCCGTAGCTTGGGTTGCGCTGCCACAGTCAAATTGCTGTGGCTCGTGTCTTGAAATTTCAATTCACGAAGGAATCGTGACATTTAAAGTTCCCAATGCAAATGTTTTATCCCTTCCCTGCTGCCGATCACCCCCCCCCCCCACCACTTCCTTTAACAATCTGTCCTCGCTCTCTCTTTGGACAGATTGTAACTGCCGCCCCCCCTCCTCTCCCCCCTCCCCTTGGCTCTACCATCTGAAGGTTCGAGTGACAACAATTCTGCTCGCCTAATTATTCCTCCGTGGGTGCTCAAGCTGAACATGATGTTTCATTTTTTATTTTCTCTTGTTTTTTTTTTGGGGGGGGGGGGGGAATGTGTGTTTTTTTTAGTTTGTTTGTTTCATGATTATATTTAGGCATCATTATTTCATCTGTTTTTTTATATATATTATTAAAGCGATATTGCTTGAGGCATTTTAACAACAAAGGACGACTTTTTTAGAAAATAATGTGTTGTCCATTCAATTGACGCCTGTCAAGTGAATGGATAGCACAATTATACTTTGTCACGCTAAGCTATGAATCTCATTTGCGTGTTCGGGTGGGGACCAGTGGTGCAGTGATTTGCGCATTGTGCTATGAACCCCGCTACCTCTCATGAGCACGGTTGGCGACGTACGGTGAGAAATAAGTTGAACATAAATCTGTGACAAGCGGTATCAGAAATCATTCTTGGTGTAACCTCCGTCGACTCACCATTGAGCGAGTACCACGTGCGGTCTGTCAACATCAGCACTTGGGAGACAAAGACGAATGAGGTGGTGGTCCTGGCCACATCAACCTCTCGTACAGTACCGCCCTTCATAGGTGCTCACTAACAGGATAATCTTTATATTGGACTGTGGTCCTGCATACTGTATATGTGTACTGTGTGTGTGTTCTGTGTGTGTTTTGTGTGTATTTGTGCCATGTGTGTGTGTGTGTCCACTGGGTGTATACGCATATTCATCTGTGCACATGTGTATGTGCGTATCTCTGCGTGTGCGCGTTCTTGCGTGTACATGCTCATGCCTGCGCGCGTGTGTGTTTGCCGCACTGTTTACCGGGTGACCCACGTACATCTGTGCGCGTGCGCGCGTTTTACGGTGCTGGTTGGACCCTTTGCAGGGCTTCATGGTGCAGACGGGCGACCCGACGGGCACCGGCATGGGCGGAGAGAGCATCTGGGGCACCGAGTTTGAGGACGAGTTCCACCACACCCTGCGGCACGACCGCCCCTACACCCTGAGCCTGGCCAACGCCGGGCCGGCCACCAACGGCTCGCAGTTCTTCATCACCGTCGTGCCCACGGTTCGGACCGAATCTTGCCCTCGATTTGTACCGTCGGGTGTCGTGCCCCGAGATGGAGTATCAATTGGCATCTCTCGCAGAGAAGTGCAAAATTCGCTGTGTTAGAGAATGGTACACGGAACGCGGATATTCGCAGAGCTACAATACTTTTGAGATCCCTTTTAAAATAAACCCCTTATCCACACAATAGGCTGCGGCAGTTTCCCGCACGCCCAGTCAAAGAGAGTAACGCTCGATGCATGGCAGTCAAACCGATATATTTTATTAATCAAAGATGGAATTTAGCGACTGTTAAATTGCAATTATTGAGGCTGCGATTCGATTAAAGAATCGATCGTTTCTCTTTCGTGGTCTTAATTTTTATTTTGTATTTTTTTTCTGTCATTTACTGTTTGGACATTATTCTAAATGTAACAGTCCCAAAGTATTTGCATACAATTTACATAGATTATAAATAATTTATTCTCGTACGCACGATTGGACACATTTGTCATGAGCGGTATAATCAATTTTAATCAATGTAGCATTACACGTCTAATGCGTGTGCATCTGCAAGACAAGACTCATTTGTTTTTTAACCTTGCTCCTTTGACCTCATTTGTCTGTGTGTGTGCGCGCGCTGTGTCTGCGCATCATTATGCATCCCCCCTCGTTACAGCCGTGGTTGGACAACAAGCACACGGTGTTTGGGAGGGTCACCAAGGGCATGGAGGTCGTGCAGAAGATCTCCAACGTCAAGACCAACCCCAAGACGGACAAGCCGTACGAGGACGTCACCATCATCAGCATCTCCATCCGATAGCGCAGCAAGGGGTACGAGAGAAGGGAAAACCTTCTCTCTATCTCTGCACTTGGCCGTCCGCCTGGGATTGTAAAATATCGCCTCTCCTCATCGCAGAATGGACCAGACTGTGGTTTCTATTTTCTCTGTGTCTCGTGTGTTCGGCAGCGGTTTCACGTGGGATGCGTGAGAAAGCACCTCGAAATACCGATCTTAGATTAAGGTCAAGAGGTCGTCGGGGAAGCTGCTGTTGAAGCCACTTGCACCTTCTTTCCGCTTGATCTCGCAGTTTTTTTGGAACATCGACATCGGACATCCCCCTCCCTCTTACGGACTCGTCGACAAGCATCCAGCTCCGTGTGTTTCGCCTTGCCCTGCAGTTGGTTCTTAACAGTCGTCACTGTCGGTTGTACGATTCTACCGTGGTCACGGACCCCCTCCCCGCAGGTGTCATTCCTCCTCTGTCCTGCACATGTGTCCCACCCATCGCAGCCTCCACTTCCCCCCCATTGCGTCTTCAGTGCTATCCTGCCAAGTTCCATTCTGAGCTCGCAAGGTACTCCACCAAATTGCGAAATTGATCCTGCCATAAAGCACCGACGTTATAACGTCGCTTTCCAGTGCATAAAGAGCCAGACCTGAATCTCCATCAAAGCCAACGGTCCTGATTTTTTAAGCTTTGATGCTCGTAAGAACGCAGTGTTTGTACGGCTATGTGGGTGCATCAGCAGTTCGCCACAAGCAGCGGGGGAGATGTTTGGAAGCTAGCAGATTGCAGCTGGCTGCGCTGGAGTCCTCGGGGCCAGTGAAAGTTGGATACGATGGGAGTTTTACAGTGACCTTGTCGGGCCACCCGTCAAAATCTCGCCTTGCACGCACACACCTGCCCGATGCGCTTAATTCGACTAATGCAGCTCGCACGGCAACTATTAATCACTCGGCAAAAACGAAAGTGTTTGCGCACGCAAGTATGCCGTGCTCAGGAACACCCTTTTTGGCAAAACAGGATATAGGAAGTTGCAAAGTTCACTGCTGCGGGCCATTAGATATCCGCGGACCGAGTAACGCCGCGCTCGTTTTTCTACAAACAACAAAAACTTAATGCGTTCGTCAATAGCACCGCCCGAAAGAGGAAATGATAATAATAATAATAGGTGACGTTTTGGGCGATGAAAAAGGAGGGCATTTGCATGGGACGTTAGCTATATATTATTTTTTACAAATGTGTTAAGTTTTTGTCACTTGTGCAATCACTGCCAACAGCCTCGCAGTGTTTTTGTTTGGTCACCTTCCTTTGTGTTGAACATGGTAGTGAAAAATGAAAGTGCACAAACTTTTCGATTTAAAGCTTTCGTGACTGCAGGGATTCATCTTCTTGGTTCTTTCGGTAAAGTCACGTAGAATGGAAATAATAAAATAATAAAAATAAAGCATCATAAAATAATTCTCACGACGTTTCAGCCACAACGCAAGCAGCCGTCCTCAGGTGAAGAACAGGTCTGTCGAGAAGTCATTCAGACTCTTGTCTTCTTTTTAGTATTTTATTATTTCCATTCTACGTGACTTTACCGAAAGAACCAAGAAGAGTGCACAAACAGTTTATTTCTGTTCCGTTCGAATGAAGGCTGATTCCAGAAAACAAACAGCTTTTGCCTTGGCGCTACTAACCTAAGCAGTTTGTTTCCCACACTGTCCGACACAAGTTTTAAGCTTTGTTAATGAGAACATTTTTTAAAAATCACTTCCCGGTGGTTGTCGGGTGGCTCGGGTGAGAGAACGGAGGTCCATGGTTCGAATCTAAATTTCAGCCGCCTGTGATCAAACTTGGGTGTTTTAAGTGGAGTGAGTTGGACTCTGGTCGCCAACGCTTGCACGCAAAAAATGGATCGTGTTAAATGTTGTTTTTCACTTAATTTGGCTTATTCCCACTGCGAATTAATTGATTGTAACTGTCGTGCCATAAACGTTGAGTTTTATTGCCTGTGTAATGAACACTCGGAGGCCTCGAGGGACTTGACAATTCTGTGACTTCATCTTTCGGGGGCCTTGCTGTTGACACTGACGCTCTGCTGCTCGCTGCGGAGTTACAAATGGAAATTTTGTCTCATGACGCCAGTAAGACAGTTTGAATGTATTTGGAAAAATGCATCACTACGGTATGACAAAAATGTATCCGTCTGGTGCGGTGCAACAGTTTAACATCGCCCCATTGATGTGTTGCAATGTAAGGGAGTGATATGAAAGTGATGGTAACAAAGTTTCATTGTCACACTTGACTAAAACGTCAAGAGTCGTTGTCCTTAGCACGGCATCAAACTGAAGTTCGCCCGTGGCAGACACCTTGGGTACGCATCTGCAAAGACGTTTAAATTTGGAGTTGCGTTTCCCTAGCGCATATCGTCGGCGCTGCGTCGTGCCAAAGTGTGAAGAGAATGGCGTCTATAGCGAGGAGGTGCTTCCGAGGATGTCCGATGTCCTTCTGATAAAATTGCGTGCGTAGAACACGCCGCGTGCGTGCGAGCGTATTGATAGAGTGCCCTATCACGTGATTGTTTTTAACGGAAATAGATTTCTTTTTACGTATAAATACATTTTTTTTTCCACAAACGAAAGCGTCAATTGTGATTTATTTTTCGAAGGGCCAGATTTTGTTTTTAATTGCGTGCGCTTTGTCCCCGACGAGCCGCGCGTGCAGCCAGAAAAGAAATTGCTAAAATCCGCACAACGCCTGTTTTAATGTTGTCCACTCATGATGATCATCTATCACGACAGATGCGAGGCAGATGTTGACCCCCTGACCTCCTACACACCCCCCCTCTCCCTGCCCAAAACCCCAAACTCCCTCTGCATTCACAGTGGCTCACAGGCACAATGTTTTGCCTTGCCATATGCAGGAGGTGAATCCATTGTGTTATAAGATTTACAGACTTGCGTAGTGCGTCGATGCGTTTTCAGCTTGCGATGCGTGTATTTTTTACACGATGTCCGACGTTTCGCCCCACGTCTTGGGAGCTTATTCAGGCACCGAAGAAGGAATTTGGTTCCTGATTGAGGAAGCAGCCAGCACGTGGAGCGAAATGTCATGCATCGTGTCAAACAGCACGCGGTGCAAACCCAAAAACACAATCGAAACAAACCTACCCAGTAGATTGATAGAATTGTTTAATGGAACCAAGGTTGAGAGGTCATTCGTAATCGTGAATGTCTCCAGCTTGTGTTTGTTCTTTGATCCACGTGTTCCCTCTTCTGTCTCCCAGTCCAATTCCAAGCATGGCCTTCCTCGCTTATTTGCGGACTTATTAGCTGCTGCCGTACACAATCGATTTGAGACAATTCACCCAAATCAATCGAGCAGGTGATGATTTGTTTCAGGCCTACTCGCATAGTTCTCCCAAAAGGCAGCGCCGATTGGAATGTCCATAAACATGGCAAGCCTTGTCTTGAGTTTGTTGGGTATTGGATTGCAAGGCTGCTGTTGTGGGCAGCGGAGAGCAGTGCTGCAAAATCCATTGTCCTGTACATCTATGCCTCCTCGTCTATGCTACCCCCGCCTTCAACCCACATTGACCGGCGTAGTGAATGAAGTATGATTGTCAAATAATCCCGAAGACACGCAGGCCATGTGGAGGCTATCGTTCGGCGGTGGATTTGGACTACATGTCCATTATCAAATGAAGAGAGGAAATTTAAGGAACTGGGATATAAGAGGAATTCATCCGATTGGCTTTTAAAAACAAAGGCTCAATGGCCATGTCTGAGCCCTTTCGTCTGTACATGGTTTGGGAGTTAAGCAATGGACGGTTTAATCCACGCACAGCCAACATGAAGTGTACGAGGCGACTCAACATAAGAGGTTCATTTAAAAAAGCAAGCAGACATTTGTTTTTCTCGCTCTTCCCCTACCGATTGATAATAGTTACGTGTCTTATTAAGGCCATCACTGCGTGATCAGTGTTTACAAATTGCCACGTGTTCCAACGGCGTGGCTCAATACATTGAGTAATGGCCGGTGAAAACATTGCAGTGAATTAATTGTGCGCCGCCGAACGGAGTGCGGTGTATAATTTTGAGAGCGGGCAAGAAAAGCAATTTTGACCGATCGTTTAAGCATCAAATTTGCGTTACGAAAATTTATTGTGGCGGTTGGGATTTTTTTTTTCTCGACCTGATGTCCAAACAAGAAGATAATCATTTCAACCTATAAAACCACGCGTGCGAGGTGGAAAATAAGTATAACCCGTAAAAACAAAGTTTTTCACTATAAATCCTTTATATGCGTGGCGGCTAGAGTCCTCTCGTCCTCTGGCTTGAGATGGCTGCCACCTATGGGTCAGATGATTGCATTGCACCATTAAGCAATTGGTAATTAAATATAATTTTTTTTGTCCTAAAAAGTGTAAAATTTTGGAAAAAAATTTTCACGAACATTAATTGTCACGCACAACGAGTCTGTGTGGAAAATGTCAGCTCGATTGGATCACGGGAAGGGGGTTAAAAAACGACCGAAAGATTTGCACGGTCGTAAGCAAGCAAGCGAACTTAATATAAAGGATTTTAAAAATACATCCAATACAGATAGGAGTCCACATTCGCTGCACAGCCTTCTGGCAATCCACGGTATGGCACCCACGAGAATGGAGTTTCACAACATTTGTGTGATCCACAGACACTCGCAGCCTCCACCGTGCTGGATTACAGGCCACGGTGCAGAGCCACCACCGCCAGGCGAGATGCCTCTCCAACCCGCGCAGTACTTCATCTCTGGATGTTTGGACAGAGCCAATCCAGAGCGGTTAATTCTGAGAAACTGGTGCGTGGGCTGGCAGGATTTGAATGGGCTTCCCTTTAAAGCAATGTTTCCTGCCTAAGCCTATTTTCCTTAACAGTCAATATGATTCGCATTTTCCCATGATCTGTGTTAGCATCTCTGTTCGCTTATTTGCACACTTTTCAGCTTTTATCCCGTGAAGTAATGTATTCAGCAAAGCCTGCCCGACAGAACACATTTTCCAAAGGGTCCTGTATTTAGATATTTGGCCGAATCCTTTCTCGTGGGTTTGTCATACGAGTGGAAATCGGGATGCGTTCCAAACAAACCCACCATGCACACGAGGATATAGCATTCAATATAGTCTGCACAGATGGGTTCACGAACCTCCTCGTTTCACCGACATCCCCAGAGCACTTCGCAGTCAGCCGAGACGATTTTTTTTGGAGTTGTGCAAATCCACGCGAACCACCAACCCCCCCTCGCAAACAAAGCGCCTATCTGAGGATTGCGCCTTCATGCCTGATGGTGCATCCCATCACAGCTCGATTGGACTTGATTCGGAATAATGTGCTGGCATTTCCGCACACAATAGCCGAGGCCCGTTTTCCAGCACTGCTAATTGATGGGCGAAAAATTCCCGATCCCATTTTATATTCCCCAATCCTTTGGATCAATGTATAATGGAGGAGAGGGACTTCCCACTCATCATTATCACCAGCATCAGTGGCAGTAGCCGTGATAAATCCACTGCCGGATGAAGGCTTTCCCCAAACCGACGTCATCTCTCAGCTTCGCGATGCAACAATCAGTCTGGCGTCTGCCCACTAGCTCATTGTATTGCTCCATCTCTGCGGTGGACGTACGGACTCTACAGAGTCCTCTGTTCTTTGGTTACCACTCGGTTGTTCGTCTCGAGCACCGGGCATCATCTCTTCTAGCCGTGCGTCCTGACAAGGCCCACCTTTTATTTATCTGAAAAAGGAGCTTTTATAGCTCATCGGATTTTTCCAGTATAAATAAATATATTATGTCTCTGATCATTTCTCGGCAGTCAATATGGCGTCTCTAACTTTCGCTCTCGAATCCACGTGTCCGTCCGTCTCTCGGTGTGATTCCAAGCGTGCAACTTCGCCATGCTTCTTTGTGCTTTCAGCTTTTGTCCCATTTCCAATGTCAATATCCCAGCTTCTCGTGGACATTTCATCGCAGGTAATATCATGCGGGACAACTCACCAATTGAAAACGTTCTTATTAGGCACGTGATCACACAAATGCGGCCAATTAACCTGCTTCTGATAATTGTTTTTTACCCTTTTATCTGGCAACAAAACTGACACATTTTTTACAAGGAATCATGTTTGCATAGACCACAATACCTGCAGTCGGAATGCAAACAAAAAACATAACTATGATAATGTGCATTGTCCTTGAAGTTGATTGGTCCACACCCGAGACAGCTTTCTTTAGAGCCTAGTCTCACATGGTGTTGGACCAGATGACGCCAAAAGGCGCACAACGCAAGGACAATGCACCATCAGAGTATGAGAGCTCGGGGTAAGCATTTACACCATTGGAACCTCATATGCCAGTAGCAAAATATGATTTTTGGTGTAATCTGCTTCTGTTTCAGTGACCACGTGACAGATGTTAAGTGAGTGTGTTCAAGCCGCTTTTTTAGATGAAAGGGGGGGAATAAACGATTTTAACAAAACTCCGTTCGAATGAAGCAAAATGTCCCCAAATTATTTTAGCGATAGCGAGGTCCCAAGCCAGTATAATTGTTAGTGTGGGAACACTTTAGCCGTATAATGATACTTAAATCCACCCATTGTTGTTTCATTTCGTAGGACATCCTTTTGTTGAGCAGTCTTGGGAATTCGATTTTTTTTTGGTCAATTGGTTTTTCTCCCGATAGTAATTTGGAGCGTGGGCAGAAAACGGGGCGCCGTTACAAAAATAAAAACCAATTCACACACACACGGGAGAATATTCCATTTCATTCGATCATACACAACAGCCTGCCTCTTACCTACTTGCTGTACTGTGGAGGATGCTCGTGAAGGACGCTGCTGCTACTGGGCAGTTTCAGGCAGTCGCCCTCCAGCAACAACGGAGGGCAGAGGAGCGACGCTCACAACAACGAGCGGAGTGCCGGGTGGGTAAAACGCGGCAAGTTGGCACAGTAGGGGGCACAGGTGGTGCATCGGCCAGTCGTCTCAGTCAGTCGACCAGTGGCACCTGGGTCTGTCCCGTGACCTGCCAGCGGGCATTCGACACGTGGCCTTAACGTGCACATAGCCTGGCACAAGCGCCGTGGTGACGTCACCGCCACTTAGTGGCGAATGGCGCTTGTTGTTGTAGTGCTGCCTGCCCGTTTAAAGACACCGCTTCTGTCCTGCCGGTGAGTGCCTTGATTTTCGTTCGTGATGACCCCAGCTTTGCGCGATCCTCTGATACCCCACGGCCTGCATGGTCATCACACCTGGGCTCCTGCCAAGCAGCAGCAGCAGCAGTAGTATTATTAGTAGTAATAATGCCCTTTAATTATCCAGGAAAGCCTCACCGAGTCTCGTGACTTGTTTTTTTTCTTCCGGAGGTTGCTGCTGCTGCTGCTGCTCTATTGCAATGTTTGGCAAATTCATTTCGCGAGAGTTTGAGCACGGGTAAAAAAATAAACAAATGCCGTGCTGATAATTGTTTTTTTACCCTTTTATCTGGCAACAAAACTGACACCTTTTTTTACAAGGAGTCATGTTTGCATAGACCACAATACCTGCAGTCATAATGCAAACAAAAACCATGTGAGACTAGGCTCTAAGGAA